TCACTTGTCACACAATTTCTAACTCTGTCATTCAGATTCAGCCCTAGCTTAATCCCTAAGGACCGCATTTCTACAGCATTTATTCTACTCTCGTGCTTATTCTGCCACATCCAACTTTTACCATCATACATTAAATTCGGGACGAACACAGCATTGTAAATTGCCATACGTGCCTTTTTCGACACATTTTGTCTTTCCACAATAGAGTGTAGAGCCCCATTTACTCTATTTCCTGCGTTCACTCTTCGATCTATATCCTTATCATATCTACCATCACTGCTAAATACACATCCCAAATACACAAACTCATCTACTTGCTCGACTAATTCCCCTTATATTCATATTTCACATATTATAGTTTTACTTTCTCCTCTTTCAAAAACTATTACTTTCGTCTTACTTGCGTTCAATTTCATTCCACTTTCTTTTAATGACCTATGCATTAATGTAACCATCATTTTAAACTCCGCTGCCGACGACGCAATTATGACTTGATCATCGGCGTACAAACGTTAACTCACCCATTCTTAACCCGCATTCTACAACTTTCAAATTTTCCAAACAACTGTCCATAAATAGGTTTTACAGCCACGGGGAAGCCACACAGCCCTGTTTGATACCTTTATGGATACCAAACCAGTCCGAGTAAGCCCCGTTGATCCTAACACAAGCACTGAAGTTCATATACAGAGACTTCAATGCCTGTATCTACCCAGCGCTCAACTCAAATGAGTTCATTGTTTGCCATAACACATCCCAGTTAATTTTGGCATAATATGCCTTATCCAAGTCCACGAACGCACAAAATACCTTTTGGTTTTTGGCCATAAACTTCTCAGCGACCATGCGCATGGAAAAGATCTGATCAGTACTTCCCATTCTCTTTCTAAATCTCGTTTGCAGATCCCAAATTTTTCCATCAGTATTTTTCATAATTCTTTCATTAGTACGTAGCAAACAGTATTCCCATAGTGCTAAGAAGGCTGATACCACGGTAGTTTTTACAGTCCTGCTGTAAAAACTATTGTGGTATCCTTTTCCCTTATATATTGGGACTACCACGGCTTTGCACCGCTCTTCTGGTACCCGGTTAAGATCCCAACATAAATTAAACAAGATGTACAGCAGGTCTACCACTACTCCCTCTGAAGCCCTTAGCATTTCGAGTGATACTCTATCATATGCGGCTGCCTTACCTGCTTTCATGCTTTTCATTTCTTTCATTTCTTTATCTCTCTATCTTCTTTCCTCTTCTTTCGGAATTTCTATTACTTCAGACGTCTCATCACACATAAACACAATTTCAAAGTATTCCTTTAATCTCCTTAAACTCGAAACTTCCTCGTTCAGAATACAGCCATTCTGGTCTCGTATAGCATTCATTCTGGGCTGTTTTAAATGTCCTCTGGGAGTTCTTTCAAGTTTCCAGAACATTTCAATATTTGCGTGGAAGTTATGCGATATTTTTTTATCACTCTTATCCGTTCTTTCTTGCTTTTTCCTTTTAACTACTTCTTGTCCTCTCTTATTTAGATGTCTAAAGACTGCATTTTTTCTTTCAATATCATCATTCATACCGCTAGAATAACTAGCCTTGGGTGCTATTAGATCTAGCCATGCTCTCTTTTTTGCTTCAACTTCCATCCGTACCTCATCATCCCACCATAAAGTGTTATTTTTCCTTTCATTCGTTCTCTTACACACCTCATACTTCGGTAGCTGCATCTACCAAACCTTTCTTGACGTTATACCACACAGTCTCTGTTACGACCTACAGCTGCCCCTGCAAATGTATAATCTCCTGGGGCCCATGAGCGTAAAGTCCAACGAGCAGCCGCAGGTTCGAGCCCGAGTAGCTATATGGACAAATTTCCTATAATACTAAGCTATATGGAAAATATTTTATCCTACTACAATTTAATGGGGAGACTATTCAAATAGAGAGTATTAAGACTTACCTGTATCTGAGGCAACGACTGCCTCAAGGTTCGGTCAGGCAGGAGGTGTGTATGTGTTGCGTGTATAGTGATGGTTTTGTGGTGTGGTTGTGATTGACCTGACTGGACCGTTGAGGTCGGCAGTTACCAGGACGCCGGCACCTCTCCAAATTATGGTAATCTCCAGCAGCGTCACCCACTGTCAATTTCCTTCTTCTTCACTATGCCAGTCTATTAACTTTACCGTACAATTAACTAACTTCCAGACGCCACTAACACTCGTTTATTATAAAGCGTAACACACAACACGAATACCGAATGTTCGGATCAAAGGTCACTTCCGGTTCGCGTGGCAACAATTATTTCTAGAACAATTCAGACGTTGATCGCAATCAATGTAATTTTGCTAACAATTTGTTAACCCGGCGTCTAATTCTAGACTTAAAAAAACCCTCGTCGTGGCAACAATTTTCTAACAAAAACAACTCTAAAAAATGGAGGTTTCCCGGGCGACTTCACGACGTGCTCTCGCCAGCACTGTATTCGACCAACTAACTCGATCCCGCCGCCGGTAGGAACCAACCACGTGCAATCTCCGGACGCGGCCAGCTGGCAACAAAAACTCCCGTTAACCGCCCGCACTTCTACCACTTATGAACGCGCCGTATCGAGCCGAGTGCCCTCCGGCGTCAAGTCTTGAAACCAACGTTTGGGCGTGAACAGTCTCCAAGTCTAAATCATTCATACACAATTCATCCATACCACTTATATTTTCTCTCAGTCTACATTTGAACTTCTCTTTCACACCTTCATCTTGTAATCTCTCTGTTCTTATACGCTGTAAAGTAGTAGTAGACACAGATGTCCGATGCCGCCAACGCCTGAGTAGACCAATAATTCGGCGTAAGACTATGTAATGATCCGTCCCTACGTTGGACTCCTGATAAACCCTTGTATCTGCTACTGCGCTCCTCATTCTTTCATCCAAAATTATGAACCCTATCATGCATCTATCACCACCTCTTTCCCATGTATACATGTGAATATTCTTATGACGAAAGAAAGTGTTCTTCACAAAAATATACTTTTCCACAGATACGGTGAGAACGCTTTCACCATTCTCATTTATATTTTCATCACCAAACGTTCCCAATATCCTTTTTTAACCAAGCCTCTTCACGCCAACCCTTCCATTAAAATCTCCTAATATAACAATATTTTCATTACCCTTGCATTTCATTAGCACTATTCTTACCATCTCCCAAAACTGCTCTCGGATATAAGTCAACTTAGACATGTCTGGGGCATAGACCCCCAGAACAAACAACAACAGTTTTAGGATCATAACAATAAATTCAGCTTTCTTCACGCGTAAGTATGTCGAACACAGCATTTGAGTCACTTCCATTAAATCTTTGAACCATTTCACGACACCAATCAACACGACGGAGTTTTTGGGCCTCTGTCAAATTATGAGGTATCCACCGGGCACAAAGTTTCCTGACCGCTAAATGTTCATGGAGAATTTTATGCACTTGATTGCGATACCGATACCGATGCTTAAGCTTTTCCGAATCTGCTGATAAGGCACTCTTTTGTCCGTATCGTGCATACGCTGAACAACACTGATCTTCAGTCATCGCCGTGGAAGGCCGTCCCTCACGCAGATCGTCGGTGAGATTAGTGCGACCACGTTTAAACTAATTAAACCAGATGTAAACAGTGGCACGAGATGGGGATTCATTTTGAAAGGCCAATCGAAGCCTATATATATATATAACTTTCTTGTTGACTTAAATGACATCGAACGTCATAAAAATTCATTGTACGAAAATTTTCTCGCGTTAAATGTGACATAGCCAATTTTCAATTTACCGCCAAATCGTTAACAAATTACAAATTAATAAAATACATACGCAATAATATTGGCAAAGAGTTCCATTTTAAAAATTTGAACTTATGTTTTTATTATGTCGTTTACAAGTAGCCAGTTCTAAAAACTTTCAGTGTCGCCCTCGTAAGTAGGTTAGAAAGAATACAGATTTATTTAGCTCATGTTAATTAAAAACGTTGTAAATATGCAAACAAAAAACAGCTATAAGATATATGGTTTAATGCATGGCCCATTATAGTGCCCCGAGTTGCTAGAGCACCTTGCACTTTGCGCACTTACCCGACGCACTCGGCACATACCCTTAATCCACGTTCCATATCATCCCACCGTATATGGAAGTAATTCAGTGATGTCTCTAATTACGCGAACTTACAACAGGGCTTTTCATAAACTTGACCCGTTTATCGAAACAAAAGCGTCTTATAAACGTAAAATAGCTAAGAGTTTATTGAATTGAACTTTGGTTTAATTCGTTATCCCAATTTAATAAACTCAATATCAATCAAAAATACTAGTTCTGTCCAAGGTCCACCAACATACGTTTATTTGTTTATTTATTTTATTTACCTTTTCTTATTTGAAATAAATGTACACAAAAAAAATTACACTGCACTTTATTAATTTAACAACAATTTAAAAATATCTATTATTTAAAATAAGGTAACGTAAAATTCATAATATCATGTCCTATTTTTAATTTATAAATTCTGTTAAAGAACTATAATATACTATATGATACTCAAATGGTAGAAACTTTGCAAGTTAATAAAATTTTTATATTTATTCTAATCAAAAAATATACAAGTAAAAAATAAATAAAATTCTACTTTTCTAATTAAGAAATAATATCAAAAAATGTCATATAACTCTCAATAGAAAATCTCTAACAGGCCGTCAGACAGTTAAGTGGCCACTGGAGCACGAAACCTGTAAGCAACAAAAAAAATACAGCCTATTTTTACATTTCTTGTTTATTTCATCTTACATTTTTCACAAATTTCTAATTTAAGATTGTAACAAACCAATAGCTTAGGTTACTTGTGGATAACTTAAATTGCCTATACTAATTTCTCCATGTAACTAGTTTGTATACATTATTTATTTTATTATGGTGTTGTTATTTCTAATATAAAATAAATAAATAATTTTATTTATTTCATATTTGATAGGTTTAGCAAAGCAAATGTTGAAGTCAGCTATATCGTTATCAGCAAGTGCCAATGTACCAGCAATTGCTGGCATATTTACTGCTCAGCGTATTCAAGATAAAGCTGAGGAACTGGGTTTTGTCAAGTTGAATGAAATTTCGTACAAAAATTTCGTTGTTAATGACAAGGTACGAAACAGGTTGTAACACGTTGTAAACAGATCTACTATAAAATGAGGCTAAATGTTTTTTTTATTATTCTAACCCAGCACTCAACAACTATCCCACCTGATGGTAAATGGTAAGCAGACGTATATGATAAAGTGCACTGAATTCATGTATACAAAACATTTTTTAAATAAATAAAATTATTAAAAACTAGCTTTTGCTCGCGGCTTCACACGCGTGGAGGTCGGAAAACGATACCATTTCGAAAAATGACAGACTATGTCCACTGTTATTACTTAAATATTATTGAATATGGATAATATTTGCCTTAGTTTGAAACCACAGATAATGTGCATATTTTTGGTACACAAATATTGTATAAGCTATTTAGCTTAATATAACACTAGGTCCTCAAATAACAACCTAGTGTTATATTCACCATACTAATTACAACAACATTAAGCTATTATTTTACGTTGTTATTACGTGAGATATTCTGTGTCCTTAAAGTATTTTCATTATCTAAGTACTTCATGTTCACAGGTAATATTTACTGGAACCGCGGTTGAAAATCAAGCGGCAGCACTTATGGCATATCGCATACCTAACATCCAAGAAACTCCAGAATTGCCGACGCAACAAATTTCTAGATTTAATATTACAGCATCCCATGATGATAAAAATATACCGGAGGCAAAATAGTTTTTAATATAGTTCGACATGAATTCATTTATTTTAATGATTTCTTATATTCACGCGAACACTACACATTTAATAAAACTATTTTTTACGGATTTTATCGCGTTTAATTTACTATTTTAACTCCCGATGTTTTTGGAGCTTTACAGCAACCCATGGTCACGGGGAGAAGTGAGATGTTTGACGTCCCAATGTCACAGCCCGGCTAATTCCAGTTTTTTAAATATTTATTTTTGGTTCGAATTACGCAGAATAAACTTACAGTATCTTAAAGTCTTGCAGTGTTATGCTTGGTTTTGGATTTAATTTTGTTAATTATAGGATGCCAAGCAGATGGCAGCACCCATCCATCTTCTCTATTGAAATTAGGATGTTTTTTTTAATTTCAATAGACTCGCGTATCATCCTTAGTAGAAATCGGTGTTCATTTGCGAGGATTTGTGGTCTATCAAATCGGATGTAATGGCGGGGACCATCTTGAACATATTCACAGACTGCAGACTTCCCAGAGCATAAATGCTTCACGTCAGCTATATGTTCTTTCACGTGGGTTTTAATAGATTTTTTGATTGTCCTATGTAAGAGAGACCACATTCACAATCAAGCTTGTACACTCCTGCATCTTGTAGATGGATATTACACTTAACGGATGGTAAAAATTGACTAATCTTTTTTGGCGGCTTGAAGTATGTTTAATAAAGAAGCTCGCTTCAAAATGTAGCCAATCTTGTCTGTGGCTTCCCTGACATAGGTTAGTACAGCAGGCACAGGCTCGACTGTGGTTGGCTTCACTCGGTTACTGTGACGTAGGTACGGAACCAGAAGCTTGTTGTCTTGCAATACTTGCTCGACGTGCTGAATGTTTTATGTCACACATCCCTCGTGCTCTCTAAACCAAAGATTTTCCCACGGTAGCTAACTGTGATAGACGATGGTACGATTCACCATTTAAATATCGGTTGGTATGAGTCTTTTCCCTATACACAGTAAGACCAATAGTGTTATTAGCATTTCGGATGACTAAAACATCTAGAAAAGCTACAGAATTGTTTGCCCCTAACTCCATTGTGAATTGTATTATGGTTAATGGCGTACTCACTTGGCCATATTTTTAATCGTTTCCTTATTTATTTTTTTGTGAAACAATAACCTAAGAATTTTTGTTACAAATGGAGTCTAACATTTGATCACAAAAGTTGGTTATATTAGTTTTCTCTTAATTCAAAAATATAATTTAATTTTCAGTCATGTATGTTTTTATTTTATCCACCACCATGGACGTTGTAAATCAAGACTTCCAATTGCGATTTCTTTCTCTAATATTAGTTATATTTTATATTAGTGAGATTAAAAATTAATTAACGAAACTACAGATATTCTTAAAAGTAGAAAAATGAATAAATGAGTTAAATATGTGAAAAACATTTAGGAACAATCCACAGAGGCCACTGATTGTTTTTTGCATATTTATATAATACTCTAGAAATCAATAAAATTTTATTTATGACGCAACTTCGCAGTTATATAACTTTGTGTACCAAAATACTTCACCTCAATCCTTTCATATCTAGTGAACGGAACGAAAGAATAGCCCTCATTTATTTCATCTATTATCTAGGCTAGTAACAAATTTTTATTTAAAATGAAATAAAAACACTTGTATTATTTCAAATATTTTATATATTAATGATATTTTTATGTGTTGATTGGTTTGTATTTTTTGAATATTTGCAAATATGGTTGTGGGGAATATTTGTATTACTAAAACAACAAACTCTCTAACAGGCCACCACATAGTTAAGTAAGTGGCTACGGGAGCACGATATCTGTAAGCAACTTCAAAAAAAATATTCGGTGCGTCATCCATGGAATGCCTTGCAGCTTAAAATGTTAATAATGGTCCCCCATATCGATATCTGCTTGACAGCAATTGGAACGAGGGTATTACCGACCTAGATAGACTTCTAGGCACAGAAAGAGCACTATCATCTGGTTTGTTATGAACAATTGTTTTGTATTTCATATTTAAATAAATAATTAAATTCTCCAAAAAACATATAAGCCAAGTGCTTAGTAATTCCGCAAAGAGGTATTATTTCCAATCAGTAACTAAAGTATTAAAAGATTATATAAATAACTAGACTTTTTCACCTAAAGAGAAACAGTTCTTAGGATCTAGAAAATCCTTATGATTTTTTCTACTTATTATAAGCCAGTGCTCGACTGCAATCCCACCTGGTGGTAAGCCAAAAAACAAAAAAAATCTTAGCAGATACCTCCCTAGAAATTGGTATAACAAACTAAATATACAAAACCAAACAATCAATTAATTGTTACTTATAAAGTTTAATAGGTAAGTACCTATATGCGACAACATTTATTAAAATATTTATCAATATTTATTAAGTATTTACATCGAACCATTAAAACAACCATAAACTTTATTTCTTTTATGCCACTAACTATGTAAACAAACCTATACTGACTAAAGAAAACAATGTGTATAATATGTTGCGATTGTCACGAGTTTTTGAAATGCACCCTAACCTATCTCCGATAAGTGAATTACGTATGGTTTCTATCTCAAGAAAGGGTATTTAAACAGAGCCCAAAAAATTGCTGTAAACTGACGAACTATATAGTTGTTGCGGTTGGAATCCCCGCATAGAGCGTGTTTAGAAGGCCTCATAAAGACTTTCAGAGTGTAACAGCCACAATTAGTAACGAATAATGGTTACTTAAGTTGTTCTTTGATTGGTGCCGCCTTAGTGTGATTTGAAAAAATTCACTCTCAGAGTCAGTTTGAATTAAAGTTAAAATCAGCAAAGCCATAACTAAATATTGAACGACTGATTTAGACGTTTATATTTGAGGCAAAATGTTAATTTTTAAAAGTTAAAAGCTTTTGTTTAACTTGCAATGTATGTTTGTTAGGGTTAAAATCTTGCAACTGAATTTTAAAGCAGTTATTCTCTACGGATTGAGCTGAAGTGTTGTATACATGTTTAGTTTGGATGTCAATGCATGTTTAGTTGAAAGACGTCATACTAAAACCAACGGCTCAAGATGGCGGTCCAGCTATTTTCTACGGACTGCCATGATATGGATATAAAATTAAAGGGTTTACTGAGGAAACGTTTACGTGATAGAGCCATGCTGCAGATATATTAGTAGTATAGTTTTAGCATGAATGGGTCAGCTCGACCGGGAAAGGACCACGCTCTCACAGAATAACTGCGTAAAATAGCAGCTTAACATTGCTGTGTTTCGTATGGTGAGTGTAGAGAATCGGAGACCATTTTTACTGGAAAAGAGACATTCCATCTTAGTCCTCACGAGTGACAACGCATCTGCATTTTGATTCTTTATTGAGGATAAATGAATATGTCTATGGGCCACAGCAACCACTTACCATCAGGTGTACTGTGTGCTCGTTTGTCACTCGATCCTTAACTCATCAAAATCACTCGATCGAAAAAAAAAATAGAAAAATAAAATGATGTCTCTCTAAATCCAATATGGTTGACACCCAAAGATAGCGGACAATGTTTTTTATGCACCCCATGATATCGATATCAAATGAAAGGGTTTGCTGAGAAGCATACTGAGTCTCACGTGTAGGGGTTTCTATAAAACAGGGCAACCCGAATGATTTTATAACACTGATTTTATATCGCTCGCTAAGATTTATTTATTATGAGATCGTTTGGAAAAGTGGTGTAGCTTGCATTTAAACGAAACATGTTTCTATTTCCCTCTCCCAGCGATAAACGACCACAATCAATGAGTTGGATTCAGTAATCTCCAACGCACCCCAATTCTAGGATAAATTCTACTGTGATTGAATGTCTAAACGTTCTTTAGTTTAAATTTTTTCTGTAATAAAGATACCAACCTCACCGCGTATATGTTTATGGGTCAATTATACATCTAATCGTAACACCACGTTACTGATTTTACTTTCGTGTTTATTACATACGAAATATAGGTCTGGAGAATTGCCAGCTATTGGAACGATAAACAGGAACAAATCATTCCCGTTCTGCCAAACTATGTAAATGACGTGTAAGCAAGGCCGACTGTAAAAGCCCTCTACTATGAGAGATTTATAGGTCGCTTAGTTGTAATTTAATATGAGCCAACATAGCAGTATTACCGAAGTTGTGGACATGATTTTCTTAAAAAAAAATACATCAGTTTATTCAATGATGTATTAATATTTTGTCTAAATTTCATTTTCTTGAAAAGTATTAACGAGTGGAAGATCTTTATCTTCTTCTTATTCATCAGCCAGTAAGAATCTGTTGCTGGACATGGGCATCGACAAGGTCTTCTCCTGCTGCAAATAGGATTTGACCTTAATCGTCAAGCTTGGTGGATTGACGACCGCAGTACCAGTCGTCTCGCAGTTTTGACGCTGCTGCCTGTCAGCTTTTTGTGTATTTTTTGGTTTGGTGTAAATGAGATCGTTATGAAGTCATCTATTGACAGCCGTAAAATTTTGCTTGCATTTCCTATATTAATATCTTACGACACCTACAGTATAAAATTGCTAGTTGGATATGATAGAATATTATAACATTAAGTGATGCAGGCAAAAAGCGTAACCAAAAACTATGGTGTTTTTTTTTTCTACTTGGCTCAGGGCGTATCTGCACAAACCCACTTAATGAGCAAAAAACCACAAAGATACAGACAATGCTGAATGTTATACCACCATTAGTCTGCTCAGTGTTCTAAGAGGTAGGAAAAAACGACCAAGAAGTCGTTTCCTACTACCCAAAGACAATCTTTCAGCGCGCAACGCGAGCAAACCAAAGTAATTTTTTGCTTTTGAAAAAGTGGAGCTCGTGACCCATCTCGCACAAACAATTTTTTTATATTCTCAAAAATCAAATATGTTGATTTGATGAGAGATATGACATTTACGGAGCCAGAAGTGGCCGTGATAGTTTTTAACTAGCACGTGTAAAACAGGACTTCAGTCCAATGGTCTTCATGTT